AAGTTATCAATAAATCCATCTCCATAAAAACACCCACCTCCATGTTAAAAAAATTTTTCTGCAATATTTTAAACTAAAAGTATTTTACTTCAGATTAATTAAACTTTAAATCAGTATGAAGTTTCAGGAAAGTATATTTTAGTTTTGAAAAATGTTTTTCATAAAGAGAATTGTCATGTTGACAAATTTGTTAATAGAAGCTATTTTAGCAATTTCCAAAAAGAATCATTCCAATGAATTCAAATTTGGTTAGTTTCATAAAATATATATTCCTACTTTATTGATTATTTTTAAAATTGAAAAAATTGATTTTAAACAATTTTACGTTTTGGCAGCTTGTGCTTTTATATTTAAATTTGATGCAGTTTTTGTTTTTTTTTTTTAAATTTCTGGAGGGTGGAGTTGAGATAACTTGCTTGAAATATGGACTTGATAGTTGGAATATAACTTGTATTCAAATTCTTTGCACTATTTTAAGCATACAATACTAGTTCTTCAAAATTCTGTTAATTCTTAATTTGACTATCATATATACTAGAGCATAACGCATGATTTTATCAGTTTTTTTTTAACACAAAATACAGGGTGTTACACAATCCAATTTTTTGAAGAGGTAAGAAAAAAAAATAAATAAATAAAACAAGAAAAACATCCATTTTCAGTGGGAAAAAAAAAAAAAAAAAAAAAATAATTCACTTGTGTATAGCACATACCAAAATTTGACTGAAAATTTAAATTTTAAATTCCTTAAGGTATTAAATTTTGTCAATAGTCATTACAAATAATCAGCAAATATCTATAATGAAAAATATCAAAAATACCATTTCTTTGGAAGCTTGTTTAGACCAAGTTAATGGCTTTTTAGGCATCCTCAACATGAATAGTTCACATTTTGAATAAGAAATGTAGAACAGGGGGTGCATGACAGAAAAAAAAAATTGTTATATATACTATAAAGAAATTGATTTATCTCATACATGAGTATTCAAAATATGACATACTTTTCTAAGTGTTTAAAATTTAGTCCTCTAAAAACTGGTGCATTGCTGTGGTCTCAGTTTCAGAACATTTTTCTTCTATTAAAACTAATACCTGTAGATGATGAAATTAAAAAAAAAATTTTTTAAACTAATCAGATCATTTTGATCACATACTATTCAACTTAAGCCAGTTTCCCCTAAGACTAACAGATGAAAGGTTTTGTTTTTTAACTAATGCTGAAGTTAATTTAAGCATACCAAATGTTTGCAAACAAGTTTAACTGAATCTAAAAAACTAACATTATCAAATGCTAACATGCAATTCTTGGCAGATTGCTTATTTTATAATATTGTAGATGAGTAAAGCTCCTTTTGAGATTTAAGAGACTTAATTGAAATCTTGTGATAAGATTTCCATACAAAATTTGAGAAGTCTTCGTATACAACCTTGTAAGACACTTTTTTTCTTAAAGTTGTATTTACCATGCTTTGCTTAGGCACAGCTAAATTAAGATGTTGCATCAATTTGCCATTGTGGAAGTTGCATAAAAAAATTAGCATTCAAAAAAAAAAAAAATCCTGGTTTTTATCTGTCTGAGATTAAATATGAAAAATGTCAAATATTTACAACACTTAGTGCTAGAAGAGCAGGATACCTAGTGAGATTTGAACTTACAATTTAAGGATCTGTCAGAACAGTTCACTAGCTACTGCTGTACACCAAGCAACCTACTCAATTGTCTTAAATCTCAAGCACTTCAATGAGAAATTTAATTTTCTAAGAGAAAAATTAATTCCCCCCTCCACAGCAATTGAAATTATGTATTGTGTCACAATGAAGTTGACTGTAACATAAACATGGCAACAGGCATGTTTAAAAATAAGATCAGATATTCATGCAGCCAACTAGGGTTTATGGAAAAACATTAAAATATAAAGGATTTTTTCAGGAAATGCTTGCATTTATCCAATGATGTAAAAGGATATTTCATTCATAAATTTTTACTTAATTTTAATGTTAATAAGCTATAAAAACTATAAACATTGTCAATTATGAATAAACTGTTTACAGTCTGCTAATTCTTAATTTCTTGAGACTAGTATTGTCTTAGAGGTATTTACCAGTCTGGCATAATCATAAGCATTGGGCACCCACTACATATAAACAGCAATAGTAATCATCAGTCCATTAATCCTGATGGATTTATGGACTTAAATAAGCAAAACTGTTTATAGCATATGATACTCATAAGGTATTCTATAAAAGAATTCTTTCACAAGCGTTTTACTTTAAAGTTCTCTTACTTCTAAAAGTATAATGTAGGGATTGTTCTAACTAAAATGTGGTTGCAGTTGAGTTGATACTTCAATCTAAAGTTATCAGTAACTTATTAAAAATATGACCCACTAATTTTACAACTTTAATATGGAAAGTATTAAACTTCAGACTGCAACTTCTACCATTCAAATGTGCCCCAAAAGCAGAGGTAACTTTAGAACAAAATAAATATTCAAGTTTTCAAAATGTATGTAGCAACTAAGAATCAAGGTTTACATTCAACAAACAAAATATATTTTCACAAGAGTTCTGCTAAATGAGGCAGTGCACAGTAAGACAGGGTTCAAATGAACCTCTACATCTCATAACTTGTGCCAGGTTTAAAATTTTTTTTTCTTCTCACATGGAGGCATTTTAATCCTGCCTGCTTGCACCACCTTATAAGAAGAGCTCTATTAAAAAATATTTTAATAGCCAAGAATTCTATTGAGATAGGGATCATCCTTTTTTAACTATATATATATATATATATATATATAAAAAAAAATAAAGGAAAACTCAGGCACAAGCACACCCCGATTTAAGAAACCATTAAAATATCAAAAATTTTATGCATCAAAATCAAGATTAATTTGGGAATACTGTGAAACCTTACCATTTTCATAACTAAATACAAATCATTTATATGAAAAGAGGAGTTCAAAAAACTTAGAAAGTATTACAACTTAAACGAAATAAGTTCCAGATTTTTTTTTTTTTTTTAAAAAACTAACATTGCTTACATGACAGTCAATAAAATAAGTGCTGCCTTTTTGGATGAAAGGGTTGCCCATGCCTGTAAATGGACTTCGTAGTTTAATGAATCCAATTATATATATATTTTTTGTTAAATAGACAAATTCTCAAGGAAATTCCCTAACTCATTAGGATTGGCTGATTCTTAGGCAGAGAACAAATCAGCTTTCAACGCTGACAAGATTTTAATTGTGTCAGATGTCAAGATTTATTATATACAAAACATATATACACTCACACAATAGCTGCAACAGGTAAGCTGGAACACAAAAAATAGGTAGGGAGAAAAATTCAGACAAAAATGACACCATTCAATCAACTGTACTGTGTACTTTCAAGTCACCAATGTTAAAACCAAAAAGTCATTGCTCTTTCTTCCATGATAAATTCTTATTTCAAATCAAATGTTACACCCCAGCATGAACCAACATGTTCAACTACATACAGAAAAAAAAAAAAAAAAAAACCACAAGAAAGAAAATAAATTATCAGATGATTGACAAAAAGCAGATAACTTGGTAGAGTAACTTTCAGACATCACTTGACAAAAGTTTTTTTTTTTTTTTTTTATTTATTTTTTTTCTCCAAGTTTACAGAATTCAGTTGGCAATCATAAGTAGATTTGCTTTCATTTGATTCAAGAGAACTTTGCAGAAAAGAAAAATTATTATTTGTGTGGATTAAAAAATTTTTCTTAAAGATTATTTCAGTTGGTGTAATATTTCAGATAAGTATATAGAAAAGCAGTTGAGGGAGGGAAAAATAAGTCTGTTAGGAAATATAAATGAGTACAAACTCGAGAAAATTATTTGGGCAAAATAAATTTATTGACTCAAAAGAAACTATTATGAAGTTAATGAAGCCATCTATCTACACATACAAGGTCTTAAGAGCTATGCTACAATACAAACACCAGTGTCGAAAAAAGTCAACCTGCTTCAGTTTAATAAAAATGTCCATTCACAGCAGGAAGGGGCGGGGATAAAAAATAAAGAAAAAAAATAACATATGCAAAATAAGAAATGATATGAACCGAAATGGCAGGCAATGACATGAGTCAGAAAAACTTAAGAATCTTTCATTAAATGGCACAGCAGATGGAAATCTCATTAACATCATACACTGATATGAAAATGGCATAATACATGTATTAAGTCATGGTCATGAACCGCTTTCTGCCCTTCATCTTTTAGATTGGATAACCATCTGTAAAGCCACCGCGCAATGAACCAGGCACAAAAGCCAATTGAAGAAATATTACGGTCTTATGCATAGCTCATGTGTTGCATGCACAGTTGGGACTTGTGCTTTTATTATTAGGTTGTTTTTGTTATTTTTTTGTTTCTTTTTAAGATTTTTTATATATATATATATATATATATATATATATATATATATTTTTTTTTTTTTTTTTGTTTGGTTGTTTTGTAAGAAAAAAAGTAATTAGCATTTTAAAAATTTTTGCTCTTTTAATTTTTATTAGATTGCCATGAAGTTACTTCAACATTATTCATCATTAATACTAGTTCAGTAGAATAGCCTTTTTGATTATCTTACTGGCTCATTAATACAGAAATCTTCAGAGAAAATTATTCCGTTTGGTTTATGTCAATTAGCTCCCAAACAAGGAAAACAATTGCTTGCTTTATTAAAAAAAAAAAAAAAGTGGGGGAGGAGGGTATAGAAAGAGGCACAGCATGTCATCAGTGATCAGGTGCCAACTAAGCAGATAAACCAACCAGAAAGTTCTTTAACAAAAACAGATTAAAAGCAATATCTTTGTGCCAACGACTTTGCATGGCAGAGATGAACAACGCGCCATTCTGAAAACCTATGACAGGAAGAAAGCAACAATGGATGATGTTTTCACCAGTAGGCAAATTTGACACGAACACAAATGAATTCAGGACAGCACTCCAGGGCAACAGTTCTTCAAATCATGACCATTAACTGCTGGGAGCCGCACTCTCTTCATTATCATTTTGATCATCGTAATTGTAATCATCATCATCATCATCATCATGGACAGACAGCTTGTTTTTACGGACTTCTTCAATACGCTTTTCCTAAAAAGGGCAAGAGAAGGGAAAGAAAAAAAAAGAAAAAAAAAAAAAAAAAAAAAAAAAAAAATCAGTTAGATTCTAAAACATGTTATAATTTGCATAAAGAAACCAAGTGAATAAACTAAAAAACCTTAACATACCTTCCCATTAAAAGGAAAAAAAAAAATTTTCTTCAGTAAAACAATGAAGGTGCCAATTGAACATGTCAAACTCTTAACTATATGTAAATCATTTCAAATCCAATAGATGACTGAATTGAACAGGTTTTAGGATTATCAAATAGAAAAATTTAGAAAAACTATACTCAATTATTTTTGTAATGCATACAAGTAAAATGAAAAATGTGAGAACATACCAGACATGCAGTTTCTTAAGTTATTAAAAATAATGCAATATAAAAACCAATATTAATATAGTCAGCATTTTTTTTGTTAAAATTATCAAGTGTTAGTCATCAAGTCTACTAAACTGTCATATTTGCTAGCATGTAAAATTTACTTTATAACTTTCTTCCTAAAACTGTAACTTTAAAATATAGTGCAAGTTGGATAGGGAAGTATGCATCATATACTTGCAAATACTTTAGTTATTAGGCTTTTATAGAAAAAGGTTTTAGTTCAATTCAGACTAAAGAAAAAAAAGGTTTGTTTATAATTGAAAAATTGTTAGCTGAAACCTATTGCATATTACAATGATGAGATAACCATCAGCTTAATACCAATCTAAACATTGTAATTACAAGTGTTAAATTAAATGTGGCAGTGTTGCAGTCACCAAATGAAAGTTTCTTAAGTTGACTGTCTGAAGATTATTATCATCATCATCATTAATGATATTAATAGTTAATGGCAATTATAAGCAAATAATGAACCATCCAAACCTGGGCAAGAAAATAATTCCAGCATGAATTGGCAAACAAAAGCATTGACATTATAAAAGAAAAAAAAAAAAAAAAAAAAAAAAGAAAAAAAAAATTTCGTTTAAATGAATAAAAAGTCTATACATGTTAAAATACTAAAATATTATAGCAAAAATATCAAACAGTGGGGACAGGGACAGTTAGTTTGGGAATAAAAATGAAAGATGAAGGAAAAACAAAATAAAATAAAGAAAAATGCTAATAGTGAGATTGATTAATAAATAAATAAATACAAGAAAGAGTAGAAGGATCAAACATCCTCGCCATGCTTTCTTACATGTTCCAGAAGACGATCTTGAATAGCTTTAATCACTCCCTCTCTGTTCTTGACAGCTGTTTCCATTTTCTGTAATACTTTCTCACCAATCTTCTCCCCTGAAGCTTTGTACATAGTCTCACAAGCATTGTTTACCTCTTTAATATGATTGTCCTGTTGAGAACAGAGCCCAGATCAACTAGTTATAACAAACAGCCAACCAAACACAGCAAACTAAGTTGGGGTTTTAACAAGCCATTTGCAGATAATTCAGTAGCAGTGACATTAGTGTTTAACTTAAGAATAGTGTGTGTATACATATCCGAGAGAGATTTCTTCAGAATTTAGATAAGCATTTCGTCAGAAATGCTAATCTTGAAAATTAATATTTGAACAGGTTTAGATGATCAAATTTCAGAGAAAAACAAGTATCTAATTTAATTTCAGTATTTTAAAAGCAAATGGCTTATTTTCCACTAACTTTATACGTGAAAAAGGAAGCAAAAAGATAGCATGCATAGATACAAGTTCATGTTCAAAAACTCGCAATTCAAATATTAAAATCCAAAACAATGTTGATAATTAATTACAACTCTAAAATATACATAATTAACAGATTAACTATTAAAATGACCAATTACTGTTAGAAGGCAAGAAATGAGATCAATTTAATACTCACAAAAATCTTCATTGAATAAAAGACTGCAAAGTTGGTAGGTTTTAAAACAGTACAAGAAATTAGACAAGAGAATAAAGACACTTATTAAAGAGGCTGCTCATGTAGGAGGATTAACCATGCTTTGATAAGGCAGGCACTATGAGAAATGAAGAATCATCAGGATTAAGCAGACAAGCTGCAAGTGTATAGAAGACTAAAAAGTGGCAACGGCAAGCAATATATAAGCAAAGGTGTGTGTATGTGTGTGCTGAGACCAACTAGAGTATAAAGTAATCTGTAGCACTGTGGATTAGCAGACAGCTTCCATTCCAACTGATAGCATTGAATAGTAGATTATTCTTTTTTTTTAAAAATAATACCCCCACTTTAGGGAGGAAGGGCAATACGAGGTTAAAAAACAAAATTTGCTGTTTTACAGAGATTGCTATTTTCTGAAGCCAGTTCTACATTCACATAGGAATACACAAGCTCAAAAATTAAAATCCAAAGTGTGTATTTTATGTTATTTAAAAGCATGTATAAAAATAAGTGCACTTGTAATATTTGCATACAGTCAAATATTTAGGCAATCCCTGTAAAACTGAATAAAGAAATGTTTGGTCCACAGACTTCCAACTTAAATTTGTATAAATCTGGCAAGAGAAGAGGGAGGAAAAAAAAAAAAAAAAAAAAAGGTTTTTCCAACCCAACATGAGCAAGAGTCAGGATAACAGGAGAGAGAGCCTTTAGGATAGTCACAAATCACCGAGAATTGCTTAAGAATGTGAACATGAACCAAGGAAGGAAGTTTTGCCAGAACTCTCAAGCATTTCCATAAATAGAATTGCTCCTTTATGAAGCCCCCCACCATTTAAAACTCATTCAGACTTTGAAACAAACGTTTTAATTTGTTAAGCAATATTTGCTATCAAAGTGAACATGCTCATTTAGTCAAAAAATATTTATTCTAATTTACCAAATTTTGAGTGGAGCCAGTAATTATTTCCTAGATAAATTTTGATACGGTAATCTAGTTTCGTGCATTGAAAACATTTTTCAAGAATGTTCAAGTGATTATGAAAACAGCAGATATTTTGCAAATAAAAACATTAGCATTTAGAAAGAAACAAGTTTCACATTAATGATAATGAAACAATTCAGAAAAGAATTTTAACCATAATAGCACCCAGACAATTTTTTTTTTTTTGCAAAAAAGAAAAAAAGGGGGGGGATCCCATCCCTCAGCTGAGGTTCTGGCTTTGGAGGCATGCTAGTGCAATAATAAGACACAATAAAATATGCAAAGTGATAAATATATTTTTCTTTAATTTTTACATTAGACAGGGGAAAAAAAATATAGCAAAACATACAAAAGTAACATCCAAAATTATTTATAATCTAGCAACATGGCAGGTACAATTACTTGGTCTAGATTGCTTTTGAAGAAAAAAAGCTGAATGTCTTTATAACTCACTTTGCATACTGCAGAAAATTATACAATAACTTCAGAGATGAAAGTATTGTAAAAGGAAAAATTAAATAAATACATTGAAAAGTGAAATAGAAAATTCTGTTTAAAATGAGTTTGAAAATTATGATTTGATACAAAAATTTCATCTCTCAAAGAAAAGAAAAAAAAAAGTTACATCAGAAAAAACAACCTGTAATCATGAATACAGTGGGTTTTATATATATTTATGGTTTTTACAAAATTAGAACAAATGAAAAAGGTTAAATTTCCCTAATCTGAAAGTATAGAATTGTATAAAAAACTTAGTAGCTACAAGCTGAAAATTTGCCACGTTACTGACATGAATGGAGTGATCTTAGTTGATAAGCCTGTAACAGGATAAATGCCTTCAAGCACATATTACCAAGTTGAAAGTTTAAATTGTGCTAAATCTTAAAAATTTTTTTGGTATCATAAGCATACCAAGGTAACTAATGTGTATCTGTTTAAAGACTTATGATCTTTTACAAAAATTATATGCATAGCACTTGAACCTTTGCCCAAAATTTAACAAGTAACCCAGCAAAAAATTTTTTGGTTTTAAAAATCTATTCATTATTTTACAAATACAAATATTTTAAGAAATGGAATTGGACAAATTAAATGTGATGCTTAAACTTTAGATAATTTTCTAAAAAGATGGAATTCAATACATTCATTAATTCTTTTCCATAATTGACAAACAGGTTGTTTTTCCAAGCAAATGAAGGGAAGAAAAAAAAATTAAAGCAACTAAAGAAAAAAAAAAAAAAAAAAAAAAAAGGTTAAAAAAAAAAAAAAAAAAAAAAAAAAGAAGTTAACACATGGCTAGACTAGTGAGACTCACGTGCTCCCTGAGACGTTCAAGCAAAGATTGCATCTGGGCTCTCCTGTTCTGATCATACTTCTCAAACTTTTGATTTATCTTTTCTTCCAGGTCTTTGGACACGGACTCACTATTCTTGCATACTTCAGCTACCTTCTTACGCTAAACATAAAAGTATTCACATGTATTCTACTGGCTTTTAAATGGGAGGATGCTTGGGATTAACAGAAGGATGGAACAAAAAGTGATGTTTATGACAAAAAATAAAATATAGATTGATATGGCAGATGCCATACCAAAGGGTATACAAATGAAAATAGGAAAAGAAATAATGAACAAATATCAACAATAATGGGTTCACAAAGGAGAATCAAAATTTGGGAAAAATGTGATTAATACAGAATTACATACATAAATACTGAAGTCATTAAATCAAAGTGAAAGGATCAAAGAAATAAAATCATATTCGGTTCAGCACAAATAGAATTGCACCATAATTTTTAAACTGGAGAAATATAAAAGTTTAAATAGTAAATCCCAAATACTATGACATTGTTGAGTTGTTGTTTTATGTATATTTCAGGACTAATTGAGAAAAATTATTCAAATAAAACATTTTTTATCCAATGAAACCAGATAATGATAATCCCATTTCAAATTGTGTCTTATTTATTATTAAAATAGTTTCATACAACTTACAAAAGAAAACAAGTTATGCATTTATTGCACAAGATGAATTAATATTAGAGTCAAAATCACCTATGAAAAGATTTACGACTTTCTAATTCCAATAGAAATCATCTTATGCAACTGCGGGTTATTTATAAAACATGTTTGCTTTCCGTACAAAATAGAAACAGTAGGATAATTTAAAAAAAAAAAAAAAAAAAAAAAAAAAAAATGAAATGGGAGAGCTATTTTAAAAGATTTTCTCTTATTTAGCAAATTAAAAAATAGGATGTTAGTAGATTCATCAGGAATGCAACACTTAGAATACGTTGTTAGAGACAATACTAACCTGAAATCCCTGTGTGCCTGCATAAGAACATATATTTAGACACACAAATTTTTACACAAAAGTTTGTTCAGAATCTGAAGAGTAAACAAAATAGAAAACTAAAATCCACGGAGAAATACTATTTTGCCCTTTTACTCAAACAGATTAAAAAGAAGTTAAAACTGTAAGAGTAATTAGAGGGTGAGGCTCATAGTGATTCACAAAGATTATCTTAAAAAGTAATGCTCTACAGCCGAGAGGCTTGACTGCTAAAAGGATTCATCTAGTTACCAACTTTCTGCCCCAGTCCATAAAACTGGGAAATTATAGCTTACATCTATACATCTATGAAGTTGACAAATTATGGACAGTGTTTAATTATAAAATTAGCACACCTTTAAAAAAAAAAAAAAAAAAATTATGGTTCAGAGCAATCAAAAATCAGTCCTCAGTATGAAAATGTAGACATCTGCCCTATCAAAAACTTTTTGACATTACAAGGAAAAAAAAAAATAAAAAAAATTACTTTGTCATATAGGAAGTTAAAAATCTTACACACTAAAAATGTAACTTCAACCCAATCAATTTCCTAAAATCTGACCAAATGACCAAGCATCAGATCTTTAGAGTTCTTCAGTACCCCTCATTAAAAAAAAAAATTAAAAAAATAATCATTTCTGTTGACAATTCAATGAACTCTATTTAATCAAACTGAACAAAGGACTGATCTCAATTACCAACAACTGCAAAATTCCCAAATTTATGGATTTAATTCATTTTTTTACTGCAATTCTACACCTAATTAACGAAGCTTATCAAAAGCAGTGTCTATGAACTGGTGCCCTGATTTATCAAGGAAATAAATCAAATACAATAACTGGTTTCAAAGTCTGCATTGCAGCAACTCTTGTTAACCCACATTAAGTAAATGCCTTTCTCATCCAGTTCATCACAGGGCCATCAGCAAGTTACTTACATGTTCTCGAAGACGTTCTTGTAATGCCTTAATTTGAGCTTGTCTGTTTTCCTTATTTAATTCCAAACTCCTACGTAGTTTTTCTTGTGTTGATTTGGAAAAAGTAGTATTTTCTTCCTGGGCCTTTTGCAGGACTTGTTGTGCTCGTTCTCTATCTTTCTGAAGTTGTTCCAGTTTCTGGGTTTCTATAGACTGTTGAAGAAATTTAAAAAATTTATGAGCAAGGTCAGGACATTGTCATGCAAACTGATAGAGTTTACCTTTAAAACAACAGGGGAATAGTCTATCAAGAAATTAAGTTTTTATCATGATATTGAAATCATAGTATTAAATTCAACTACATATATATATATATATATATATATATATATATATATATATATATATAAAAACAGTAAATGGACAAATGTTTATCAACATTTAATCAAAAAATTAAATCCCAAGAGAATTAACTATTACTAAAGCCATCTTTCTAAACTGTGAAATGGCTATACATTATAGTGAACTCTTATGTATACTAAATCAAGAGAGAAAAATAATTGAACAATTAAGCTACAAAGAGCGTTATACAGTATTTACAAAAATATTTTGTAAAAACTTCATCAGAAAACTATCCTTGAATTGCTTAATATCAAATAAGTGGCACATTTGAGATACACAAGTATTTAACACAAAAAGTTAAGTAAAATTACCATGGATATACATCTTATTTGTAATTGAAAATGTTTAAGAAATTTTCCATATAGACAAAAAATTGTGCCAACATTTTGAAGTTAGGATTCCACTGTAGTAGATGCACATAAAAAAAGATTTAAAATATACAGATGAATAACTATTCCTCCCTTCACAAATCAAAGAAAATTTAATATATAATGAAGCAAAATCTGAAATGCCCAGGAATTCATAAGACTGCCACTGTAGTTGTTTTTACATGCAATTACTATTCAAATAAATAGACAGGGTTATTAATTTGATATAGATTCAACAAAGTAACAAAGCTAAAAGAAATTCACAGCATTTTCAAACTGGAGTTGGTCATAGTTCAATTTACTTAATACACTTATCCAATATGTTGAATCCTTTTTCAGATTGTATGTAAAAGATTGGTTTTAAAATTAAACACCAGAAGCAGTATATCCTGAATGTATTATGTAAAATGGGAAAGTTTTCACAGGTATACAAGGTTAATGTAAATTATATTGCAATAAAGGTTCTAAATAAGTAATTTAAATATGCACAAATTCTATTTAAGCTATTAGTCAATTTAAGGGAGGCAACTCCAGTTGATCGAATAATAAAGGATTAAAAAACATTGCGGAGAAAAAAAAAACCCTCAATAACAATTCATTTGATAAAGTACAGCTAATTCAATTATGTCAGTAAGACAGACATACTTAAGTTTAGATCAAAATGTCACTAATCTACAAACGTAGATTTTTTTGTAATATTTCATTAAGATTCCAACCAAAACCAAGAAAAAAAGAGGGGTGGAAGAAAAGAAAAAAAAAAAAAAAAAAAAGTCATCACTATTTCAAACTGCTTCAAATGCATGAGAATTTAAAAATATCAACTTATTTGAAGTAAAATTAAGTACAAAAATTCAATAAACAATCTCAAAAATGCAAGCAAATTACATAAATACCAAATCCTGGCTAAGTGTTATCCATACTTGATAGTTGATTCCAATAAAATCATTCATGCCCTTAAAGTCCGATGCATTAAAGTCCAAAAATAGCAAAGAAAATCCAACAATGTAGTCCAGTTTTTGTAGTTGCTGTAGGTCAGGTAAGTATCACCAGTGAATTTACAAAGCAATAGTCCAGAATCCAAGGAATTGTAATATGCCAAACAAGGTAATCCACATTTAAAATGACAAAAATCTCAAAGTTGGAAACCCAGTTGGAGAATCCTCAAAATGTTCCAACATAGGTTTCTATATCTGGCTATGTCCATAAAATGTGTGTAGATTTTTTTTTTTCTTATCCAAATTCTTTACTGTTTTACATTATTGGTAGCACAAATAAGCACCTTATGATGTGAAAAAATCATACATAAAAATGCATTGTTTCATAAAGTACATCATACTGCAAAAGCAAAGACAATTGTTTTGTATTTTTTTTCTTTTTTTTTTTTTTTTTTTTTTTCTTTTTAAGAGATTAACAGCAGATAAAAAGAATACAACTTGTGTTGGTATTACATGGGGGATTTTTTTCAGGTTAGGAATTCCCAAGTCAGATACTTGGGATATCCTCCAAAAATAATTGCAAATGACAAAGAGAAAGAGAGAGAGAAAAAAATCATGCATTAAAATAATTTTTTTTTTTTTTTTTTTTTTTTTTTAAATGTATGGCAAGTGAATTCAAACAAAGAAATAGGCAAGCTTGTTATTTTCCTGGGTCTTACCTGTAATTAAATAGTTGCATTAAGGTGCATGTTAAGAGATAAGCAAAATATTACCTCTCTCCTCTCTTGGGCTTTCTTTAACTTGTCAGCAATAGCTTCTTGAGTGATAGCACGCTGCTCCTTAGGAGGAGAACCTGGTTTTATAGTCAGATCTGATGATGCTGGCTTCAAGATAACATCATAGGCCACACCACCAGTGCTTTGCTTGGCTTTTTCTAAGAAAAAAAAATAAAAATATAATACTGATTCAGACAATAAAGCACAGAATTATTTAATGACATTTTATTCACGTTAATCAAAATCAATGTGAACAAAAGTAATTCATCTTAAATATCAAGCCAACTTCAAATCTGTCAAGTTTAACAAGTTATTATGATTATAACTGAAATGCACTTTTCAATTTGAAATTATAAATATCCCTGTAGAGTGATTATCAGTTTTATCTGAAGAATTAAAACTAATTCAGGTAACACTCAGAAATTAAAATGCTAATTACATTATATATCTTTTCCTAAACACATTTACTAATTACATAGGGTAAAAATTTTAGGGATTTATACAACATATTTAAAAATTTAATTTTAGATAAATACATTTAGTAATTGGCTCTATTCAATCTAAAGGTTTCAATTGATGACTCATGTTAATTAATCTCTTTAAAGATGAACAAGGATTACTTACTAATTCACCTATATACAGGTTAACTTGGCTGACTCATTGGCCATCAATATGTACAACCAGACTTTACCGATTTCAGCCAAACACTTATCTGATTACAATAGATCATATATAATATATATATATATTATAGTGTGTGTGTGTTTACGCCATGCAAGTGGCCCAATAATTATCAAAAATAACCTACTAGAGCAGACTGATAGCCTTGAGAGAATAAACTTCAAAAATAATTTAAAATTTTGTACAAATGAAGAGTTTCATTTGACCAATATTTTATTGCTATTCAAAGAGCCATGGTATTACACCATTACTAAATGTATGCAGAATTGTGAAACTCTTTAAAATAGCAAAATCTCTAGAATTGTCATTTAAGTACAAGAGCAAGAAAAGTATAAAGTACAAAAATACTACAAACAAAAATATACTGTGCTATACAAGGAGGGAAAAAATGGCATTAGACAAAGATAGTGTCACATAATTAGGATAATATTCAAAGATCAATTTTGTATGAAAAATTGACCTATGCCATGCATGTTGGGCAGAAGGGGAAATTTGCAAAGAAAAAAAAAAAAAATTAAAATAAATAATCCGATCTAAAAGCTCAAAAATATAATTAGCAAAAATAATTCTTTAATACAAGATCCATTTATTTGCATCTTGCAATAGTGAAAGTTGTCAAAATTTGCACTTATTAACATGGGGGAGGGGGGGGAAATTATCTACCACATAAAATGATCTGTAGAAGTGCATTTTTTGTTTGTTTTTTTTTTTCTTTTCTTCTATTGTATGCTATCCTGAAAAGAAAAATTATAGAGTTAAATATTTAGGAAAATTAACAATTTTAAGATATCTCAGTACTTTGATATTTTAATACTAAACATCAAAAACTTCCAATAAAATGTTCTGAAAAATTAATGTTTTACTGTCAAAAATAAGACATAAAAATGTTTCTAAACACTGGAGAAGTTCACCTCCTTAGCAGATTCAAAACTTTAATAGTGATATATATAATCAGAAACCCAATTTCAACGACCCTTCACAATATTAAATTAATATAACTAGTTTATCCAACCCATGGAGATTTTTTTTTAATTTATGATAGATATCAACCAAAAAATGTGCTGTTTAACTTTGAAAACTGTGCAAATATATGAAGTGAAGGAAAGGAGAGAAAGAGAAAAAAAAAAAAAACTGGAAAGGGAAAACAAATGAAACTAAACAGCGCTGAAAAATACAACAAAAGAGATAAGCAAACCCCCTCAGCACTTTGTTACAATATGCAAAAATGGTTTGCAAAAATTGTGAATGCTTAGGCTGACTGCTACAAATGGTATCAATAAAATCATTGACATTTTATCATCTGGGAACATGCAGTAAAATACAATCTTTTTCGTTAAATGCAAAAAATGCCATTTAGACAACAGACATGCATTCATTTTCATAGATAAGAGGAAAGAAAAAGGAAATTTAAAAAAAAAAAAAAAAAAAAAAAAATAAAATCACGAAATTCAGTGGTATCGGTGCCAACTTCACAACAGAGACAAAAAACATTGCAACTAAAAAAAGGAGGAGACCAAGGCGAGAAGCTGTCATCTAAACTCTACCTCTCCATATTATAATGGCCTCAAACGTCTGTTGATCTGGATGTACTTGATGTTGAATTTTTTTGTGATTTTCCCATATACAGAGACCACTTATCCATTTGCAGACTGAAGGAAAAAACACCATTAATTCAGATTTGACAGGTTAAAAGTTAGGCGTTTTGTGGCGTTTAAGAAAAGTGGTCAGGAATTTCTGTAAGAAAACTGAAAGCCAATAAGTGGAAAGAAATTTCCACTTCTAAAGCAAGACTACACAAGCTGGACTGAGATCATCAGAAGAACAAGTCTGCTGTTGCATGATAAATCTAAGTGAGAATCATTAGTTACATATGAATGTTCATCTGAAAACAGTGGATAAAAAATACTGTTGTTTAAATTGAATAACTACAGAACAGGTTTGAAAAGGCTGTTCAGCAGCAAATTGCAGCCATTCTCTCAAAAAGAAAAACAAAACAAAAACACCTAAAAATAAAACTATTCAGTTCAAGCTGAACAGTTAATGAAAAATGAAAAACATTAGCTAATGTTTAATACAAATAGCGCAAATATGTATTTTGTTTTAAGTTTTGAAACATGCTTTAAAATTTTTAAACTCTAAGTGAAAATTTTCAAATAGTTAATTTTCAAAGTCTAAAAATAATAATTTAAAGAGATCTAATTTTTGATGAAATTCAATTCAAATATTGTGAAGAAAAAAAACAAAAAACTGATGAGTTATGACAATGAAGATTAATGACTACACATTTTAAGATGACAGATCAGACTTTCAAATAAAATATACCATATAAAAAAAGAAAAAAAAAAAAAAAAAGACAGTAACAGCAACAAAAGGAGTCAATTTGATCACAAAGAGGCAATAGACATCACTCAGAACAGATTTGATTAAAAGTGGATAGAGTTGAAAATAGAACTAAACATTAGATTAAAGGGGGAGAAAAATACTAACTCAAATGTCTATAATAAAGTAAATAAAATCATGCAAAGCAAACATTTAGCTCCAAATTTATCCAATTAGTAGAAACCCCAAAATTTCCTTTTTTGTTTAAAGAAAATGTTTTTAGAATAGCAAAATTTAAAAGTAGAAAGTTCATACTCAGAAATTGGTTCACCCATCCCTCAAAATAAATAATAAAAAAAAAAACTGCATTTACATATAGTTGAACAGTTAAAGCAGTAACATTAGAAGCCATCAGATCAAAGAGGAAGGCAAGGATCAAAAATTAAAAAAAAAAGTAAAAAACTATTTCACCCCATTTAAATTCATTTCAAGAGAAAAAGGAAAAAATACCTACTGGATCAGAAAAAGATTCTCAGGCCCCTATAACTAGTCTTGCAGTTGACAATTCAGCATTTTTTTTCTTTTACTAACGTCAATGACTTTCAGAAATAAAGCGGAAGGAAAAATAGTAAAAGTTGGTTACAGTTTAAGTATTATGGAGTTTTCATCTATTAGATGATTAAACTAAAAACACTGAATCCTAAGCACAAATATATTATTGCAGAAGAGAAGCAAGCAACTTAAATAAAAGTAAAAATTACAGGGTTAGAAAAAAAAAAAAAAAAAAAAAATTTGTGACACCTAAGTCACAAAATCAATTTAAAATCATTTTTATATTGAATAAAAGACGAAAAAAACTTTTCTAACCCTGTAAATTAAGACATACAAAGCCAAGCTAGATTAATACAAAAGCTGTTAAGATCAAATCACTCAGGAGCAAGCAAAAATGAATAGATAAAACTGATTGAAAATGACAATCAGTTACCCAGTCAACTGCCCCACCACCCTTTTCCTGATAACATCCAGTTTTATGTAGATGCAAAATAAACAAAACAAAATGAACATTCAAAACCCAAATCAACTTCACAAAAGTATGACTTATGAGATTCTCACAAAATAGATAGGACTTAATAAAGGTTTACTTGTCAAAATTTAAAAAGCTGGAGTTGGCTGGGAAAAAAAATATTTTAGCAAATAGAAAAGAAAAATTCAGATTTTATACAAAAACTAAACATATAGCATAGATTTTGGACATTTTCACTCTCAGAAAAAAAATTATAAACTCACAATACTAAAATAAAGCTAGATGGATCTGCTTTTCATATAAAATTTTACAATTGTTTAAGCAAGTATTTATAAATACTGACAAAATTCTTTAAACTTAATGAAATCAAACTTGGGAAAAGCGTTTAAAAAAAAAAAAAAAAAAAAAAAAAAAATAGGATTCATCTCTTACAGACTACGCAGTTGATTTTAGAAATAGCAATCAATATACATGGAAATCAAACGGTCAAATTAATACAAGTAACCTATTTGACTGAACTACAACTTTAGTCCAAGATAAATTCTATTTTTTTTTTTTTGAATACCAAGATGTAGATGTCAACTGTAACTGTTCAAATTACCAAACTCTGGTTTTTATTGAAGCAAAACAATTTTAAACTTCAGGTCAATGAAGTTAAATTCTAATAAAATTTAATCATTAATTCGAAAATTTTTAATACAAATTTACCAGATTTAAGCCTGAAAAATCAGAGAAAAATTTCTGTAAACAATACAAGAGAATCAATTAAATTTAAGTTTTTTTTAATATAAAATTTAAACATGCTTAGATTACCACCAAGATGAAGAGGCCAGTAAAAATGAGAAATGTCTCTTCTTAAATTATACATTAATATTTTATGACAATACGCTTTGATCAAGATATTGAATTAGATTTCCAAAGAAAAAAATACATTCATAGTACAAAAAGATAATAATAAAAAAAAAAAAAACAAAGTTGATGGCAATAAATTCTTTTACAGGAAATAACAATGGGATAGATGATGCTAGATATCAATAAATTCAAAATGAAAACTTATCTATACAAAAATCATTTTTTTAATGTAATAAAATATTTTAAACTCTTTTTACCACATTTGAGCTCCTTGTAAATATCAATCGCAATCATTTAGTTATTTCAAGTAACAGTAAATGCTGAGAAAAAATACAAGATTATTCATTCAGTAAATTTATAAAAAAAGTGAAAAATAAGAAACTGAAAAGGTTAAAATCGTAAGAAAGAGATGGAGAGAAAATAATTTACCTGCAGACATGATACTGGTTCAAAAGGGAGGCAGTCACCCTGAAGGCACTAATGACTCTACCACACCTAGTCTTTCTTCTGTCCAGCTGAAAGAGAAACAGCAGCACAAGCTCAGCAACGGTAGATGAAGGTCCAATGCTTGAACATTTCACTCCTAACAATGTATCATCCGATAAGGGGAGTTCAGTTTTCAATGACAACTGGTGAGAAGTGGTCTTGGCAAGTGAACTTTATGGCCAGTGAGTCGCACACACGTTGGGATAGCGACAACTACATGAACACTGGCCCCTCTGCTGAGTAATGTGCGGCAATTGGCAAGCTTTCCTAAGTCTGACGTAATGACGACTGTATTGATTAAACAAGTAGCAGCAGCGGCAACAGTGACTGCAGCAGCAACAGCAGTAGCAGCTGCAATGTCAGGCTATCCTGCTTCATAGGTATCACTAGATGCAGCTTCATTATATGTAACTAGCTCAGACGAGCAGAAAATCTTTCATTTGGTAAAAAAAAAAAAAAAAAAAAATCAATCCTGCAGAAAGTCAATCACAGAAAGAATTATTCATTTACAAAAATCATTTTCGTCTGTCTAATTACTGCCGAGACCACTTTTAAAAGCAATTCTTACTATATATTTAAGTTTTTAAGAGTTGCTAATTGAAACAATTCCAAATATTTAATCAAGTATGGTAGAGACTAGAGAATAAAATCAAATGCAACACGTATGACATTTTTATAAAAATGTCAAGAAAAATGATAGGAGCTCAGATGAAAAAAAGCATCATAGACTTTTACTTTTTAGACCTGTGATGAACTCCACTTCTTAGCAGAACATTACTTTTTAACCGGCTAAAAATGCATGGTTTTCATTTTTCCCGAAATCTGTTTAAAAATCTGATGAGCAGCAAATTATTATCCATTTTTAAAATAAATTTCAGAGCTAATTCACTCAATTATCTAACAATTATAAGAATTTATAAATTTAACCAGTTGATGCATGACAATTTTTTAATCTTACAGAGAAATCAAGTTCTAAAACGTTGAATAACGTTATTACGTACGGTTAGAATTTTTTTTTTTTTTTTATAACGTTTCAAAATTAAATATTTGTTTAATAATTAACCAAGTATCAATTCAAATTTTTCAACAATTTAATTAAGACGCTTACAAAAGAGCTTAACTGACATTATTTTCATTATTAGTATCTTTTAGAAAGACCGCAATAGCTTAATTACGATTGGATCGCCAGTATCTGCACACTAAATTGTAAAATTGTGTGCGTGTGTGGAAAAGTTCTCAATCCTAAGGGATTTCAACCGAATTTTAATATATGGTCAAATTTTATGAAGTGGGTCGATCCGAGAACTTTCCATCACCTCTCTCTCTCTCTCTCGTTTGTGTGTGAGAAAGAGATACAGAGCGCACGGTCACACAAACTTTTATATGCAGATACAATTCAATTTCCAAAATCAATTTCCATACAGGCTAATTGGCTAATTTTTATTTTCACACACACAAAAATATTTACAGAATTAAATTTCCAAGAACTGTTAATGAATGTCTTACTCTTATGCGGATCAAAATAACTCATTTTATAGACGGAATTTTTTTTCACAATTTATAACTGACAAACTCAAATTGAACAAAATTATGTTTGACAAAGTTAAATCAGAAACCGATTTTTAACAAAACATCACATGGTAAAACCTATATTGTCACTGTGGGAGTTGAATCAGGTAACTGACACGAACCAGGGCCACAACAAAACGGAGCCTTTTATAATCCAATTCAATAACTACCAATTATTAAGATTTGCCAAGGTACAAGAAAATAGCTACAATTTTATTTTTTATACTAACTAAATCTGATTATTTTCAAAATTATTTCAGAAAATAAACTGAATGTAATAAAATACTGAATTTTAAAGCACTGCCTAGGAAAAATAATATCGATATAGGAAATTTAACAAAATCAAAATTAGTGATCATAATAATAACAACGACAAACTAAAGATCGGAGTTTATCTAAGTTTGGCTCAAGGCCATGTTAAATGCCAAGTAGAACTCCGACAAAAGGACAAAGGAAAAAAAACAAAAAATTTCATTAATATAATGACAAAAAACAATCATGTACTTTCCATAAAATTAATTTTTTGATTAACTTTTACGAAAAAGTTAAAATAGGAGCTATCACCAAGCCCAAACTCATATGCAAAGTACAGAATTTGATAAGTAATAAAAATCAAACTAAAATCGAGAATTTTCGTATCAAATGAAATTAAATAACGTAAGTTGACATTTGAAAAAGAAAATAAGTAAAAAACAAATTAAGCTTCGTAAGATTAAAGATTTAAACATTTTTTCACCTTCAGACAAGATTAAAATTTCTAATTTTTCTTTCTAATCTCAATTGCTTTTACAGTTTACTTTAAAAAAATTGGGGAAAGAACATAAATAGGATAATTAAAATTGAAATTAATATTCACAATATTTTGCTAAAAATAAATTATCTATGTTCCTTGTGAGGTGATATACGACTACTACTAAATACCATCTGGTCAATACTAAGGCTTTAAAAAAAGGGGGGGTGGAGATATGTCATTTACTGCAGATTTCATAAGTTGCAAAAACAGGATAAGAAAAAGCTAAGAACCATGAAACTAAATTTCATTCATTTCATATTGAGAATGAAATTATCTCAGATGCCTGTACTTTGTACAATCCAGATCTTAAATTACCTAAGTGATGAAATTGTAATTAATTATTTTCAAAAAAGTCATTAAGGACGTAACAAAATTGAGTTTTCAAATTTAATTTTGAATATAAAAATAAAACCCCATTTCTTACTGACCTAAAACGATAAATTATGAACACTAAAAAGTTTGTAAAAATTGCGTAGAAGGTGGATAAGCTTTTATCAAAATTTAAAGAAATAATAGTACTGTTTCTCAAACAAGTCTTTATTAATTAAGGATGCACAAATAAGCAAGCAAATAAGTTGCTCTTCAGCAAAATACACTAACAGACATCTTAATTCATTTTGGCTCCAGACTTGGATATTGATCCACAAAATGCATCTTCAACCACAACTGACGACTGTTGCATACTAGTTATCATGCTACAATCAATAAATTTAGTAGCTGATTTCCTTTCTCCTCTTCAATGAACAAGCCAAGAGTAAAAAGATAAGTAACGAACATAAACCAGTCTTTAATCTTTTATAGATTTTTTTACCTGAATACATTTAGTTATTCACAGCGATAATCATAATAGTTCCTAATTAGATTGCGATATATTAAATATTAGATTTATATAATTAAGTTCTTACAAGTGGCTAGAAAAAGCAGTCAGCCGGTGTCTAAGAGAGAATAGATCGGGATCATCCAGAACAACGCTAGCGCTACCTTCTACCATCTTCTGCCGGTCACTTCTTGTTATCAGTAATTCAAATATTAGCAGTTATCAGTATATACAATTCCAAAGGAAAAAAGACAAGAAATGATATGCCGATTAAAAAAGCGGCAAGTTTTCACGCATCTTTCAACCGCACTCATGGCGCAAATTATCAGCTGGCAAGAACACAATGAAATGAAATACAAAACACGCACTACACTACTACTTTCAACAGGAGGTTAACGGATCAGAGATTGCTCATTAAAAGATGCCCTCTTTTAAAACTACATCAACAAATCGACCATTTTTCAGAAATATTAAATGTGTTTTAGAAAAGAAATAAGACTAATAATTGATTAAATGATAAATGAGATAGGGAGGTAGAGGCTTATAATGAAAAATATTGAAGAAGGAAAATTAAAATACTTCAGGTTTTTTTTTTACGCTAAATCAAGAATTGGGATAAAATGATTAATTTACTTAATATCTGAATGAATTACATTACACAGACCGTGAAAGATAAGAGTGGCGGTAGATTAGAGAATGGAAGGGAAATGTAGTGCGAGAGGGAGTCTAAGCAGGCTGGCCGGCCACATTATATGACCGGCATTATCTATTCCTCCTTCTAACACGAGCTGAGGAAACATTTCAATGGAGAAAAACTTGTTTAATTTCCCTTCGACAAAGAAAAAAAAAAAGAAAAAAAAAAGGCACTTAGTTTTCATAGATCGATACGGGCTTTCAAGTGAAAAGGCAACTCCTTAAAAAAATTTCCCAGCATTAATTATGTTTTTGACAAAGAAAATGACCTAAGGAAAAAATAAAAGATAGCGATGATTAAGAAATCAATTTTTTGATGATTTTGAAATTGATAGAAATTTACCGCATTAATGTGAAATTTCTACAGGTTTCCCAAACGAAAATCGCAACGTAACTACTAACTTTGTGAATTCAAAAAAGAAAAAACTAGATTCAAGAAATAGTGAAAGGTTTTTTTGGAGTTGTATTAAAAATTAACGAACTTCTATTAATTATGTATACTCATTAACATTTTCATTAGTGATCCTAATTCTAGAGTAGAAATCACTAGATAAGGGCCTTAAAGAAACGCGAGAAAAAAAAAAAAGGAGCAATTACCGGGATTTCATTGTTACAAAGATTTAAACAGCATATTGAACGTTTTCATTAACATTTTGTTCTCTAGACGAATCATTAGATTTCGACGAGAGCGTAAAAATACAAAATAATTATGGATAACAATAGTACAAACTAGAGTAGACAAATATGATCATTGAATGATAAGGATAAATGACAAGTTCGTTTTGTTCTCTTAAACTAAGTACGACACAAGGCTACATGGGGGAAGGAACGAGGGTGGGTTATAGTGTGACACTAAATCTTGCGATACTGGTGCGAGAGAAGGTGTCCTGGGAAAATCGTGTGTGTACCTAGATTCGAACACTGTCGAAAATAGCAAATGTACTTCTTTAGTGATCTACAAGTGAACTTTAAAAAGAAAAAAATAATTGTAGCTTAAAATATGCATCAAATGTAAAGTTTAGGAGAATAAAGATTATGCAAAATGCATAGATCGGTCATCATTAGTTGGTTGATCACAATT